AACCTGGGGGGTCCTATTTTTTTAGTTCTTTATATATTTTAGATAATAGTCATTTGAGAAATAGCTAGTAAAATTGTTCCCATTCTGTGGGCTTTCTCTTCACTCTGTTGGTTTCTTCTCCTGTGCAAAAACTTTTTCATACAATGAGATTCCAGCTGTTCAGTCTTTGTGATATTTCCTGGGTGATCTGAGTTTTGTTCACAAAGTCTATGCCTCCACCTATGTCTTCAAGAGTTTTACTTATTCTATCTTCCAGCAGATTAAGTGTTTCTGTTTTAATATTTTGATCTTTTATCCATTTCAACTTTAGTTTAGTGCATGGTGAGAGCTATGAGTCTAGGTTTAATCTCTGGCATGTAGAAAACCAGTTTTCCCAGCACCACCTAATAGAGGCTATCTTTCTTCCAGTGAAGATGTTTATCTTTGGCAAAGATAAAGCGGCTAAGTGTGTCTGGAATTGTTTCCGCATCTTCTAATCTGTTCCACTGATCCTCAGGTCTCTTTTTGCCAGTACTATTCTGTTTTCATCACAGTAGCTTTGCAGTATAATTTCAAGTCAGAAATTGTGATAACCTCCACCTTGCCTTTGTTGCCCAGAACTGCTTTTGCTATCGTAGGTCTTTTCTGGTTCCAAATGAATTCGAGGATTGTTTTCTCTCATTCTGTGAGGTATGCTATTGGGTATTTGATCAGGGTTGCATTAAATCTGTGTAACAGTTTTGGAAGGATGCTCATTTTCACTCTATTAGTTCTGTCAACAAGAACAAAGAATATTGTTTCCTTTCCCAGGCATCATTTTTTCCAAAACTTGTTATTTTGAAATAATTTTACACTTACACAAATCTTGCAAAAATACTCGAGGAAAGCACTGATTCAAATGGGAAGTACACTGGCTACTAAAATTGGAAAGACACACAGAGCTCTCCTGTCCCCTCCAAACTGTACCTATTAAATAAAGCCAAGGGTCAGGAGTGAAGTCAGACCTATGACACTGGAGTCCATCTCACCTTAACCCTTTCCCATTTTGCTTTTAGTTGGCTTATCCAAAAAGGAGATGGACCTCAGGAATTAATTAAGAATCACAGAAAGCTAAATGAACTGCAATTAGCAGTAGCTGACATTGTGTGTCTGTGGGAGCAATCGCTCTAAGCCACCCCTGGTCAGTGCTGTTCAACTGTGAAGGCCTGTTCCCTACAAAATCATAGGATTAAAGTCGTAAGGCACAGGTTCTAAATTGAGCCTCAAGAGTAAATGGTTAGATTCATATGCACAGGACTTCTACTCAGCAGTAATACTGACTTGTTTGTATGTTAAATGCAATTACATTTCCCAAATGCATAAGCCTTCTGAAATACAAAGTTTAGAAAAACACATTACCATACTGGTGTCTTGCAAATTTAAATTTTTTATAATAAAATATTTTTTTTAGTTCTGTGTTTGTTTCTAATTGTATTATGATAATTAAATTTAGTTCTGTGTTTATGTGTTTCTAATTCTACTATGATAATTAAAAACTGCATTGCAGGCTGTGTCACTCCAATAACTACAGGTGTAAATATTATTTATCTAGACATCACATCTATAAACAAGTACATTCTACTTCAAAGGACTCTAATTCTGACAAGACTAGATTTACTGTATTTCTTAGTACATTTAGCAGATTTGTTTTGTTCTTATTATCTTTACCTCACTTTTCCTTATACAACTTTATAACTATTATCCGTTTCATTGTTCAGGAGCACGACTTCTAGCAGACAACCTAAACAATATTTTAAGATGATGAGCCATCCTCTACCAGACTGATAGGATATAACACCGAGTCCCTGTGTCTAGAGGAAACCACCACAGTTAATATTAGACCCATTGCTACCATTTCAAGACTGGAATAAGTGACCTTCGGGGTGTTCAACAACCAAGACATAGAGACCAAAGCTGAGGGCCAGGGATATAGCTCAGTGGTACAGCGCCTGCCTGGCAAGAGTGAGGTCCTGAGTTCAATTCCTGGTACCAAAAAAAAAAGTTACTCAAAAACTAAAGCTAAGATAAAAGGACCAAGAGGATGAATAATATTTGGCCTTTGTCCATTAAGGTCAGTCCGAACACAGGGGATGACAGGACCCTTCTGAAAAGGTCCTGCTACTTCAGTGAATCACTCAGCCTCCAGCAGGGAAGTTGTGGGGACCCTAGATACTAAAGGCCAGCCCAGACATTGTGCATTCTGCAGAAATGATGGTCACAGTAGAGGAAAACGTCCCCTCCTTCCCAGGGAAGACATACGATCAAGCAGGAGGAGCACTCCTGCAATGTCATCTCTGAGATAAGTGGACAAATTCTGCCCTGCATCAAACCAAGGATGTTGTCTATCTATAAAGCCCTCAACTGTACTTGGGGCACAGAAATTAATATCTGCTTTGATTCTGGAGACAGCATGTCATCCATCTTGGAATTAAGCCACCTCCTTCATCCAGACACTGGACACCACTATACTTTGTGTGGGGCCACCTTCCTCTCACGACTACGAAGTGCTTTTTCTATCTACTTCAGGTCGGGGCACCCCTGACAGTGGGCCTGCACTGCACTGCACTTATCTCTTTATGGAGCTGCTGGGAACAGAACTCCTCAGAGGAAAGTGGTGTCAATGGCTCAGCCCAGGCCCCCTCAGCTGCTTTTCCCTCCTGTGCCAGACAGGAACTCTGTCTCTTCACACATCACACACATCCCGCATTTGTGGGTGGGTCTGTGTGATCCTCTCCATTAGAGTGCGCCCTTTCCAGCTACTCCTCTAACTGGAGTCCTTTCCTTATCTCCTGTTACCATTCAATGAACGCTTTTGTCTGTAAATTCATACTTGCACTTTAATTTCTACTATCAGTAAAGCAAGGACCCACAGTAGCCAGTGACAGCGTCTCCACTCAGCAAAGCCAGGTACTGGCAGGTTATTGCAGAACAAGAGTGCAGCGACATGGAAGTATTTATGACCTTCTGACTGTCTGCATCATGACCATAGGTTGTTTGTACCCCTCTAGGAAAGCAGCAACTCCTTCCAGTCAGCTCTCTTCCTTGATCCTGCAGGCTTAAGTCTTACTGGACTTTCTAGACTGTTGTCTCTGTCCTTGAAAACAATCCCTGTATGAAACTCTCAAGTGACCCAATGTGCATGGTCACTTGTTTCAAGCAAAACCCTAACTGATACAGCTCAAAACTCACACTCCGAGTGAGCAGACCTGTGAGTTCAGCGTCAGCACTGTCTATATCCGCATACTGATTCTGCAGGCCAGTGGTGGCAGAACTTCTAGCGCTTTCAATGATACAAACAGCCTGGTGCGGCATTCGTGCCACAGGTTTGCCACCACTGCTACAGGTGTGTAACACAGTGTTTTACATTTTATCCCATTTAAAGTGGCAATAAACCTTTTCTGATAAGGAAATTAGATTCACTCACCTTTCTAAAGACACCCACGCTATTAATTAAGGTGCACAGTCACCCAGAACCCCGGTAGCCTGATTCACATGTTTATGGGTCAATGCTTGGTAAGGGTGAAAAGTAACAGGAGAAACGGGGCTATACTGTGCACAGATCACAGGGACTGAAATGCTGCTTTTGAGCAGTGAATCTTCACTTGGGGCTGGAGATGCCCAGTCGGTAACTGAAGGGGAATAAAGCTTAGCATTTCTGCCTTCACTTTGTATGTGTCTCCCTCACCACCTAAAAGCTGGAGTCAGATCCCTGCTCAGTTCTGCACGTAGGAGGCAGTCGTCTAAAAACTGGTTTACCAGCCCTACACTCACCTCCTCCAGGACTGAGGACACCAACATAGGAGTATCTGAGATAGTTTCAAGATTTGCGGGGACATTGAACGGCCCGATTTTACAACATTCTGTCCCAGAAGCCCTGGGGCAGCACCTAGAAGTCTTGTCATTGCCCTAAACCCGCCGTCGCCTTGGCTTCCGACAGCCCACCGAGCCAGACCGCCGCCCTTGGAAGGCACGGACGCGCCGGGATTCCCCGCACAGAAGCAGAACCGAAATAACGGTCCGGCCCTCCGCGGCTCGGGGATCAACACGGCCCGCCGCAGCACGCACGCCGCAGGGTCGCCCGCACGGACCGCGCCCGGGGAGGCTCGACCCTGAGCTTTGTTACGTGGAGCCCCATTTCCTTCAGTGCTCTGCTCCCTTCCGCTCTGCGCCGCAAGCTAAAGCCTCCTGTTTCCTCTTTCTTCTCACTCAAAGCTTTTGCCTGAGCGCGCGCTCTCAGGCCCGCGCCTGCGACCCCGGCGGGTTCCCGCGGG